AATGTTGCAATTTTTTGTTTCAACTTTCACATAGGATCTTAAAGAATAGTATGTTTCAGTTACCCAGATTCTTACCATTTCTGTTGTTCTTTCCTTGTTCCTGATGTCCTACTCATACTAGTTCCTAAAAAAGCTACCTTCTGAAATTATTTTTTGAGCACATCTGCTAACAAAAATTCCCTTCATTCTCCTTCATGTGAGAAGACTTTTATCTTGCATTAGTATCTGAACAAAGTTGCATCACTTCCTTCTGGCCTTTATTACTTATAATGAGGTATTCAGTCATCTAAGATGCTCTCTAGATGCTTGAATAATATTGTTTTTCTTTGCTTTTAGTTTTCAGCAAGTTTGAGTATGATGTGTTTGGACGTGGGTTAGGTGACTTGGTGGTAGAGTAGTTAGGTGCTTGACTGCTGACTGAAGGGTCAATGGTTTGAACCTACCGCTGTCCCACAGAAGAAAGATGTGGTAATATGCATCCATAAAGATTTACAGACTTGGAAACCTTATGGTACAATTCTATAATGTCCAATAGGGTCACTAAGAATCAGAATCAGCTTCCAGCAGTGAGTTTGAGTTTGGGGTGGGTTTGCAGTTTTGTGGTTTTTTAAAAAATCTATCTTATTTGTGATTTGCTAAGCTTCCATAACATATATGTCTTTTGCCAAACCTAAGTTTTCAGCCATTTTTTCTAGATCCTGCTGACTTAAACATTCTGGGGTTTGTTTTTTTGTTGTTGTTTTTTTTTTGGTATTGTCTTGCAGGCCTCTGGAACTGTCAATTATTTTTTCTGTTTCTTGGATTGGATATTTTCTATGTGATCTATTTTCAAGTTCATGGGCTCTTTCATCTCTATTTTGCTAATAAGACTTCTTTTGATTGTAGTATTGATAGTAGGGAGCTCTGGTGGCCTTGCGCTGCACTGCCTGCCCGAAGGCACATGGTTTGAATCCACCACTTACTCCGTGGGAGAAAGATGGACAATCTTCTCCCTTGTAAATCACTGCCTCTTAAAAACGACTGGAGGGCCAACTATGAGTCAGCTCCGGTTTAGCAGTAGATAACAACAACATATTAACAGTATTTCTTGTTGTTGTGTACTGTCAAATCTGAAGAGGCCCATAGCTGACCCTCTGGTGGGTTTTCAGAGGCAGTTAATCACACAGGAGGAGACTGCCCATCCTTCTCCCAAGAGGAGACTGACCATCCTTCTCCCACGGAGCAGCTGGTGTATTTCTTTGCACTAAAATTTTTATTTGATTCTTTAGATAGCTTCTTTCTTTTTTGAGACTTTGTACTGTTCTCTTTTTTCCTCCTCATGAGCGCTAGCTAACCCTTAATTCTTAGACAATTTTTATCGTAGCTGTCTTCTACATCATCTTAGCACTAGTATCTTTTTTTTTTTTTAAGTAATAAAATGGGGCAGGGGTATGTCAGTTTATTGATGTGTTTCAACACACTTCCAACAAAACAAAAGGCAAGATTGCCTTTCCAAAAACAAAACTGGTAAAAGCCAATATATTACTGTAAAACAATTGTATATGTTTGTGCATTTCCCCCTCCCATATTTAAATAAACATGATTTCTTCTGCCATGTACTTAGTTTTAAGTAAGCGTAATTAAGAGTTAGTCTTCATTTTTTATTATGACAGCCATTATAAAATCCCTAAATGTATTTCTGGAGAACATGTTAGGATTGTTACAATATTCTCCCAAAAAGCAGGTGTGCTTGGGAATTTACTACGTTAGTTTTAGGCACAGCCTGCACATGTGTGTCACTGATGGGAAACCACTGCCCTTCTGTTGATTCCATTTCAAAATCTGTGGCATCACCAAGAACAAGATTAGAGAGATGACTATTTGCATTTCTTGCCTTGGCATAGGCAGTATAATATCCAGACCTCACAGGCACTAGTATTGTTGGCTGGCTTTTATCCACGCAAGCTGAAAATGTCTTGATTCTTTACCTACCAAATAATGATGGAATATATTTGGAAAGCCTGACTGTATGATTAGACTCTATCTTTCTTAAATCTCATTTAATGGTTGATTTTTCAGCTGTAGCAGGCAATCAATGCCTTTGGTTTCAGGTCACAAGTTTCAACCAGCCATGTGTGAGTTATGCTTCCTGTTTTCCAAGACTTTGCAGTAATGTTTAGATGAGTCTCCGTTACTTAGTAGCCAATAATCTGTTGTTAGGTATCATTGAGTCACCTGAGACTCATGGCGACCCTACATACAGTAGCTCTGAAGCCTGTGCTGTCCTGAGTCAGTCTCACTGACTCTAACACACCTACCCCCATTACCCTAGTCACTGTGTCAACGCATCTCATCTGGGGTCTTCCTTTCTTGTGCTCTCCCTCCACCCTTCTGAGCATGATGTTTTTCTTCAATGACAAGTCCCTCCTGGTCAAGTACCCAAAGTATGTGAGATGGAGCTTCAAAATCCTAGTCTCCAAAGATAAACTCAATTTCACCCTCTCCACAACAGACCTGTCTGTTCTCTTGGTGGTCCACGGTATGTTCAAGACTCTTCTCCAGCACAACTCAAAGGCATCGATGATTCTTCTGTCATCCATGGTTATTTTCCAGGTCTCTGATGCACAGCAAGTATCTGTAAAGACCAGGGCCTGAATCAGGCACACTGTAGTCTGTAGACTGACATCACTGCTCTTCAGAACTGTGGAGAGTAGATTCCCCTAATGAAATTCATCTTTTGATTTCCTAACTGCTGGTGCCAAGTGCACTGATTGTGAAGCCGAGCAAGTTGAAACTGTTAATAACCTTACTCTCGTGATCTATCATGGTGCTGCTAATTGGCCCAGTGGTCTTCTTTTTTATTTTATTCCCCCCCCCCACAGTGGTCTTCTTTATGTTAAACTTCAATACATATTAAAGGCTACAGTCCTTGACTTGCTGGAGCAAATGCTTCAGGCTCTCCTCAGTTTCAGCAAGCAAGGTTTTGTCCTTTGCATAATGTAGGTTGTTGATGAGTCTTTCTCCAATTCTGATAAATTTCACATTCCTCCTCATAAAGCCCAGCCTCCTGAATGATCTGTTCATTCTGAAAACCCTATGTACAATAGTCAGTATGAGGTTCCTAAAATCCTTGGTTTATGTTTAGGATCAGAAGCACATATACATAACTCAGGGATGGAACCATGAGTTCATAAATATTTCTATGTGTTTCTTTTGTGACCACTGCCCTTTCTTGATCACTTTCATATTTCGGGTGACCTGGAAGGTAAGGAGTCGCACTGTCAACTCAAATGCAGGCAGTTCAAATCCACCAACTGCTCCATGGGAGAAAGATGGGCAATCTCCTTTTGTGTAATTTACAGCCTCTGAAAACCCCAAGGAGGGTCTGCTCTGAGTTGGTTCCAACTGGATGGGACTGAGTTTTCTGAGTTCTTGTTATATGGTTGCTAGGTGATCTTGAGTCAATTATGATTCACAGTGACCCTGTGGAGAACAGATCTGAACCCTCTCCTTTCCGGAGCCACCCTCACAATGCCCACTGCTGTAGTCACTGTGTCACTTTGCCGACATTCTTCTTTGCTGATCTACTTTTCCAAACATGATGCCTTTTTCCCAAGGACAAGTTCTTCCTGACAACATGCCCAAAGTCACGTGAGGTGAAGTTTCACCATCCTTGCCTCTAAGGAGCACCCTGGTTGCACTTACTCCAAGATAGATGTGTTTGTTCTTTTGGTAGTTGATGGGATATTCAATACTTTTCACCAAACCACAATTGAAAAGCAACAACTCTTCTTCTGTCATCCCTATTTACTGCCCAACTTTCATGTGCATATGAAGCAATCATAAATACTCTGGCTTGGGTGTCTGACATCCTTACTTTTTGGAAGTTTAAAGTGATCTTTGACAGCAGATTTGCCCAATGCAACAACACTTTTGGTTTCTCAACTACTGTTATCATGAGAAATGACTTTGGAGCCAAGTCAAATAAAATTGTTGACAACTTCAGTCTTTTTGCTACCAAGCAATCCTCCACAAGGAAGCTTCAGCTTTGCCCTTCTCTGTCTCATGTATTACGTTACTCAAAGTTCCAGCACTGAGAGGACAGAAGAACAGGCACCAACAGAAAGGAAGAATCCTTTCCCTCAGAGTTGTGGATGCCTGTGGCTCCTATGCGCACTGCTCTGGTAAAACTTCTTGGTGCCTGGAACGTGAGAGAACAAAAAATCCCCACCAAATTTACAAAGAGGCAATCAGAGGTCTTTACCTGGTATCTCTGCATGTTTTTGGTCGCCCTGATGGCAATGTGGGCCAGAAAAGCAAGGACTCCCCTAGAGTTCTCGCCCTGTGTGTCTCCTGCCTGCTTCCAAGTTACAGGCCACCTCATGTCCAGGCTGTGAGACTGGACTCAAATGGTATGCATCACTGGCCTTGTGATACTCCAAATTCTGATCTTCGTCTCAAACCTTCTTGCTACTATTTACTTTGCAGAGTTTTTAGAGAGCTCCTCCATGCATTCGCCCAGATTTTATAACGATTCAGTGGCAGATGCAGAGCGGAGCATGTTTCGTTTACTCCTTGCTAACTGGAACTGCTCATTTTCTCTTAAAGCCTGATTTTTAAGCACTCCTTTTAGGTTATTGCCCTGACTATCTGTAGGGAGTTGTAGGGAAGCCTCCTACAACAAAGAGAGCCCCCGAGCCCCCTTTCTCCGCCTTGGATGCTAATACAAAGGCCAAGTCTCTTTGGGGACTAGAATTTAACAGCCTTGTAGATTAAAGTCAGGTCATCTCGTTTCATGTGATTTACACCCTCAGAAACCCAAAGGAAGATCAGAGGTGAGTCGGTTCCAGCTCAACAGCTGTGAAGTAAAGTGTGAAAAGCAGGGGTAAAGAGGAAGCAGAAACGTTCAACTGTCAACGTGCAAGTGTGTCTGTCAGATTCATATCTGCTATCAAAGTCTTGTCCTGGTGTCTTGGGTATCTTGGTATCAGTTTCCCTTTGGAAATGTGAACACAACTCACCAGTTATCTCCACAAGTCGCAGCTTTGTTCAGGGTCTGGGACACAGCAATACTGGTGAGGTTATCTTTGTGATCATTAGCCTGAAATACTTCTTGGCCAACCTCTCGAGCATGCACGGAAATAACCAACAAAGCTCCACGTGAGAAACCAATCATGATATAGCCATCACCGTACCTGTAAGCAATAAAGGTAACAATAGCAAAAAAGATAGTTTTTTTAAAAAAAAGAGACTGACAATCAAGAACTTAAGTTTAGAATAGAGTTTCCTAGCACACCCATGCTTATTGAGGCGTTGTCCACAATAGCAAGGAATTGGAAACAACCCAAGTGCACATCAACAAACAAATGGATAGAGAAGCTGTGGTATATTCACACAATGGAATATTACGCTGCATTGAAAAACAAGGAACTCATGCAATATTAATCAAAATGGGTGACTCTGGAGGACATTATGCTGAGTGAAGTATCCCAATCACAAAAGGACAAATACTGCATGGTGCCACTGTTGTAAAACAGGACTGACCTTGGGGTTGGGGAGAGACTGAGAAAGATGGGTTCAATAATGTATACTGCATTGAAACAGATGAGGGAGAAAGCTGTGTAAAAATTATACGTGATTAGGTATTTCTGTCATGACAGGAGTCCAGAGCGAAGGCTACATGGTGGAGTGGACCTGGGGGAGGGATTTTAAAACAATGAAAGAATTTTTCTTTTACTTTTCCAAGAGGGTAGTGTTCTGGGGGGTAGGGTTGAGAGGGGAGAAATGTGCAACAATGAATGAATGGAAATCTAAAGTCTCTGTAAATTTTTACTGAAATTAATAATAAATTTAAATTTTAAAAAAAAGAATAGAATTTCTTAAGAATCTCCTGTGTGACAGACCATATTCTAGGTAGTTTTACTTCCTCAATCAGATTGTAATCCCGACAAGCTGGTGTTAGACTCAGTAATTAGTTGTTGTTAAATACTGTTGAGTTAGAACTGACCCGCAGCTGCCCCCAGCAGGTTTTCAGAGGCAGTGAATCACACAGGAGGAGACTGTTCATCCTCCTTCTGCAGAGCAGCTGATGGATCTGAGCTGCATACCTTTGAGATGGCAGCACAGCTGTTCACCAGTAAGCCACCAGAGCTCCCTAGACTCGATAAAGCCTTTTACAAACATCCTACAGAAAGGCACTTTGGAAGGAGACTGACAGCACAATGATTAAAATGTTCAGCTAACTGAAAGGCTGACAATTCAAACCCACCAGACACTCTGAAGGAGAAAAAAAAGGGGCATCTATGTTTACGAAGTTTACAGCCTAGGATACCCCAGGGGGCACTAATACTCTGTCCTAGTGTGTTCCTACTGTGACACTGGCGAGTCAAATGTGTTAATGGTTGGCTATCAAATGCGGACAGAGAGTGGGGTGGAGCTCCCCAATTAAAACAAGCTTGGAAGGAGGAGTAGCATTCACTTTCATAATAGCTTGCCTCCAGAAACCTTATGAACCTGAAGAGAGGATGAAAGGCACCCAAGCGTCAAGGACTCTCCTTCATAGGGTCGCTATGAGTCGCCTGCGACTCGACAGCACTTAACAACAACAACAACAATAGTGTTCCTAAGAGTCAACACTATTTGTAAGGTTACTACTAGCAAAGATAGAATGCTACAGAAAAACAGTCACATATTAATTAGTAAGGGGAAACCACACAGCTGTCTTTCTGTGATGACTTTTTTGTACATACCAACAATAGCAGACGATGCTGCCATAGCGCTGCTGAAATTCTAAATCATGTGGGCTATCTGGGTCATTCAGGTTAAAAAGAAACAAAGTTTTCTTGCCAAGCACCGCACTTATCTGCCAAAGAAGGTAAAGAGTGAAATAAATTACTCAGGACTTCATTAAAATACCAAAAAACAACATAAAAAATAGCAGAGCCTAATTAATGAAAACAGTGAAGCAAATTTAGAACTCTACACACATACCGCTCAATTATAAAATAGTTCTATTCCAAAGACCACGTCATTATGAAAGACACTGGCTTTATTTGAAGTGGAGGATGAACACACCAGGTCACAAGACGATTACATCATTACATAAATGCCAAGTTCCATCACTACATAACAATCAACCCACTAAGAATCATGAGTCTGTAAGGCACAAAATAGACAGCAGATTTTTTTACTATTGTTATAAACATGAAACTTTGGGTAATAAGATACTCGATAAGTGAAGAGTAACTGGTAAGCACATAAAAAAAAAGTATCCAATAATTAGTAACATAATCATGTGTCTAACTCAGTAAATGCATTTTTACAAACTTATTCCTCTAAGTCTTTGGAAGAAGCCTGGTAGCACAATGGTTGCAAACTGAAAAGTTGGCAGTTTAAACCTTCTAGCCTTTCTTGAGAGAGGATGGGAGAAAGATGGGATAATTTGCTTCTGTAAATATCACAGCCCAGCAAACCTTAGGAGTAGTTTTACTTTGTCCTCCAGTGTTGCTATCATCTGGAAAAGTAGAGGGGTTAGCAAAAGAAAGGAAGACCTTCAATGAAATACACTGACACGGCGACTGCAACAATGGGTCTGACCATGGTAGAGACTGGTAGGATGGTGCAGGGCAGAGGAAGATTCTGATCTCTTGTTCACAGGATTGCAATGAGCCATAGCCATAGACTTTATGGCAAATAACAAAATAATGTTGCTATGAATACGGATTACTGAGGGTACCTTGAGAAGGGTCCTGTGCTTTCCACATCTCCAACATACCTTTCAGAGCACAATAATATACTTCTGTGGAAGGACTTCATACATATTCTCTCTGATTGTCATTAAGAGCACCATGCTGTATGGAAATGTTAAGTATGACATACATATATCTACTGTGATTGAACTCAAGATTATTCATATAAAGTTTTTCAATTCAAAGAGGTTATTCTACTTTTAAGCCATCTGAGATGATAGATCTCCACCTCTACAGATGATCTCAACATCAAGAAAACAAAAATTCTTAACACTGGACCAACAACAGGCAACATTATAATAGATGGAGAAAAGATTGAAATGACTTCCTTTTACTTGGATCAACAATCAACACCCTTGGTACCAAGAGTCAGGAGATCAGGAGAAGTA